GGTCGATTGATCCGTGGGCCGCATCTTGAGAACGAGTGATATACAGTATACCGATTGTAATCGATATTCTTGTTGATTTAGCTCTTTTCATAACTTATCGGCACCTGAAGTAACCGGATTACAGGGTCAAGTCAGCATAACCTTTCAATTCTTTAGCTCTGAAAGCACTTATATTATAAGAATGTAGCGTCTAGACACAGCAACAAATTTTAGATAGGCCTAAGTAAAAACGTTTGCAGGAGTGCCAATGTTGTATAGAGGCTTATAGTTGGTTGTCAACAGAGGAAGATAAATTCTTTGTAATGAAAATATAAAGTCGTTTGTTGTTATTGATGCCATGAGGATTTGACTCGATACCATTGAGATATTCACAGAAACCCCTTTAGAAAAAAAAAAACAAACACAAAATGTCACTAAAAGCATGGTACTGAGTAGATTTTTTATTAAAAAAAATAAAAGATTTTTAAACAACATTTCTGACAGGTAAATATGTTCCATATATACCGTAAAATAATACACCATAGATATAAAAAATATGATAATAAGTAATTCAACCTCAATAACCAGTTAAGTCACCTTCCAATGTCTTAAAAGTTTCTTTGACGAAAAATGTATGCATTCCCATATTATAGACATGATGTGCCTATATATGTTTATGACCTGATCTCATAATGACTATATTTAAGCATGTCACATGTATTTGTAAAGTTTGATAATCTGGGATCGAGGGTGACCTTTCCATTCTTATATCTTTTGATAATAATGGAACATTTACTGTGTTTTTAGGCTTATACTGGAAGTCGTTTCATAAGCAGAATAAGATAATTTTTATGACGATAGAGATTATATGTGATATCATTTATGTCGTCACATATATCAGCTAATTTAACCCTATCTGAAATACTTTGTAAATTGAGTTTAAAAGCACTTTTGTAAACCTGGAATATAATAATAGAAACGCCTATATTATTATTATTATTATTGTTTATTTATTTTATTCAGGTTTAGGGTAGGTAAAACCGACCACCTGACACTGCAAAATAGTAACAGGAAGGTAATGTTGAAGTAGGTTGACGGGGAAGTGTGGTTGATATATTACAAGCAGAATAAGATTAATCATGGTTTTAATTATATGCCAGAAAAACTGGAAATAACAAGTCAGATAATATTTAGAAGATTAATCGTGCAATATCGCATGCTAATTTATTTTGTCCATAGCTTGAAACTAATTAATGTTATTATCTTACGCTATAGTATTAATAATTTTAAAGCATTCAAGTAGGCCTATAACCACGACATAACCAGGTGTATTTAGCATACGTTTTTCTATATACTGCAAGACTTTATATAAATCATTTAATGTATCAGTGTCGAAGTATCTAGCCCAATTGAGTTAATCCGGGAACTCGGCCGACACGATTCTACGAAGAAGGCAACGCCGCGACGCTCGCGCAAGGGACCATTTTTAATGACGATCCGTTCAGACAGCTTTCACCGACAATTAGCAGACGGCGTTGCGTCATCTAGCGCTCACAGGGTTGCGGAGTTGGATTCGTTGTACGACACGCAGTGAGTGCCCGTGTTTACCCAACCGAACAACGTGTTACCGCAGCCCTTAGGACCAGGTCGTGTTTACCGTCTACGTACTCCCTACCTCATACCATACATGCTCTAAATTTTCTAAATTTATGAAGATATAATAATCTCATGTATTTAATCTTACTAAAGGTTACATAAATTACGTGTAATAGGCCTAGTTTTTTGTGGTTTATCAGAGTGATGCGTAGCATATTCGCCCGGCAATGCTTAAAATCATTCTTTTTTCTATTAATTTTGTAATGCAATGTACAGTACAGTAATATAGTAATTGTATTATGTGTGGGATGGGCTCACTTTATGCATTTTTTTTTTTACATTTCTGAGTATACTTTTTTTTTTATTCTTACACCATAATTTCCAAAAAGTTAATACAAATATAAAGCCATTACTGGAGTTGATAATTGTCTATCAGTAGAGCACAGACACGAACGCTGTGAACACCCCACACCCCGTCGCAGGAAGAGACGACCTGAAAGTAGCAAAAAAAAAACTTTATATAAGACAACTGTTAGAGTACCTCTGAGTGAGAAAGTGTTAATGATTATCAGTTTATATTAATGTAGTTTATCATGTACTGTAATCAATGGACAGTCTGCAGTGTTAAGCTGGGAACATACTGCGCACGACTGTCGACGTTTAATTACGATTCGTTCAGACTGCCACCGACAATCAGCAGACGGCGTCGTATCGTCTACCGATCACAGAGAACGGAGTTGGATTCATCGTGCGACGGTCGTACGACCGCGACACAGTGAGTGCCCGGCCTCAGTGTACAAACCGGAAAGGGGTGGAGGAGGTTGGAGTGGTGGGATTTGATGTGGTCTGGGCTCTGCAGAATGTGGACTCTCGAATACGATCAGTATACGAGTATACTGATTATTATTTTAACAGGTCTCCCTCTAATTACACCGCCCCCACCCTTTCCCCACGATTAAATACCAATGGTTCTCTGGCCATGTATAAACACCTATGTTTTATCTTTATGATAGGCCTTATATTGCTAGAGCTCAAGCTTTACAAAAAATATATATATAAAGTCTGGTATTCTCAATGATAATCATCATCATCATCATCATCATCATCATCATGATAATCATGATCATCATCATCATCATCGTCGTCATCATCATCATCAGCAGCAGCATCAACATAATTATTCTTCATCATAACCAGCATCAATTCCATTCATCACCACCATCACTTTCATAATCACTTATGTACAAGGACATACCGTATGGGCTATTCAGGGCCCTTAATTAATTAACCACGTCCTCCTGGTCTGCCAAATCCTGGTCTGCCAAATCCTGGTCTGCCAAATCCTGGTCTTCGGCGTTCAGGTGTGGTTGAAATTGCCCTTCCATTGTCTGGTTGTGTTGTTGAACGTCGTGGCCATTCAAATCCGAAATACGGCCATCCAGGTCTTGCTGTAGGCCTAAATGGCCGTTCGGGAATGTGAAATGCCCATGTTCTTTCAGGCCTAGGTATTGCTGTAAGCCAATGCGGCCAATGTGGTCGCGGTGATTGTGTCCTTTCGGGCTCAGGTCGTGGTGACGTTCTTGCAGGTTCGGGTCTGGGATATGGCGTTTCGGGTCTGGGATATGGCGTTTCGGATCTGGGATATGGCGTTTCAGGTTGAGGTCGGTAAACAGTTCTTTCGGAATCTGGCTGTTCGGTTGGAGGTTGTGTTAAACGTGGCCACCACCATGGCCATTCGGGTTCTGGTCGCGGTCGGCGTGATGGTCTTTCAGGTCTTGCTGTAGGCCAATGTGACCATTCGGGTTCAGGTCGCGGCAGCCATGTCCTTTCAGGTTCGGGTCGTGGTAGTCGTGTCCTTTCGGGTCTTGGTCGGCGTGATGGTCTTTCAGGTCTTGTATATATATATATTGTAATATGATATTAATTTTTAACTTTTCTACTGGAATTATTTGAATGTTTTGATATTTCCATATGTATTTTTCCACCTGACTTATTTTCCTTTTGTCTTTATTTGTTGATTGTAAACAAACGTTGTCAGCCTTTGGCTGTTGTTTTGTTTTGTGTGTTATACCTTAATAAATAAATAAATAAAAAATCTTATAGTGGCTGAGAAAGCCTAGATCTATATTAAGGCCACTATTAATGCTATTAAAATAATGAATAAATGTTTGTTCGGCAATTAATCTATCATTTCTGTTTTTAAAGCAATTACTAAGGAGCACAGCTACTTTAAAGTGTGTTATATTATTATTAGAGTGCTGCCTTTTAATTATCTTTGTATATTCTTTAGACTATACACGGCTTCATTACCCCTTTTATCATTATGTTGTGGAAGAAATTTTTAAACAGTTGGTATCACGATACTGTACAACATAGGCCTACTCATGTTCACTCTTTCTAGAGAACAATTTCGATTCAATTCAATTTTATTTTATCTCAACTGGAAGCATTAACGCTGAATTATATGACAATACATACATTTAATCAAACAGAAATACAAAACAGTAAAACATCAAAATTGATAAAATTATTTACGTAAAATATTTCAGTTCTATTTACAAAATTAGAAAAATTAAATCAATGTAATTAGGTCAGATATTTTAATTAAATTTACATGAAACTAAAAAAAAATATCAAAATAACATAAATGGGAATTGTTTTCCAAACTGCCAGAGAGTTAGATGTTTTATGTAAGTCTTGGTTCCACGATCAGATGATGATGTATCCCGGCTCGTTTCCTCCTCAGGGACCCAATTAACTTTACTAGCAACCAATTAAAGTGCTACATATTGATAAAATGACATTTTTTGGCCTGTCAATTCAAAAGATTTTTTAAACATTCAAACAAAAAATTAAGCCCGAAAACCCGCTATGAACAACAACGACTTAAGCTTTTCATGTATACAATGCCAGCAAACAACAGTACGTTTATGATACATACAGTGAGCAGATTGTATATGAGGAGACATCTGTACGCCGTCTGTACCAAGCAATTGATTCAGTCGCCCATAACATGTTAATGTTTTTCTTTGTTAAACTAGAAATGGAATTTACCATATAAAGTAGTAGACGTATATAGCGAACCTATGCGCTTCACATCATAGGATCTCTGTAGTCATGGAAATGTTTGTTCTTGTTTTATTACAATACGCTTCCGTGAATTTCAAATGCCATATTGGTACCAGGCCAATACGTCAGTATGTGGATTATTTAACTGCGCAAATTAAGTAAATAGACTTAGCCCTAAATCAACCAAAACATCTTTTATGTTCATTTCCTTGCCGCTTGAATATTGCGTTGTGTATGTGTTGTGTGTGATTGTATAGGCCTACGTTTGTGATTTTCCTTTCATGTTTGGCTCATGATTTGGGCTGCAAAATCATGGAGGAACCCTGTTCCCCCCAGGCTTCACCCTTCTCCTGTATTTGAGGAAGTAAATATTATATTATTATTGTTACACGAACTCTTAAAATGAGTGGCATATCGCCATCAAATTAATTAAATGTTTACACGGAATTTAAACTTCTTCTGCTCACATAGTGTTTTATGGGATCCTTCGAGTTAGTCCCTTACCCTACCTGAAAAAACTGCGCTGGCTCTATATTCGACAACGATTTATAACAATATTGTTTTATAAGAATCTCCTTTATCAACACTTGATCTTATCTCTGGGAAAATCTCAATTCCTATTTCCCCAAACCACCATATTTACTCAGTAAAATAAACATTTCTCATAATGCCATTTTTGCTTTTTCTTCATTTTTCTGGAAGACCAACCCCTAAATAGCTTACCTATTACAAAATCTCACCCATTCTAGATGTACTTAATCCGAAATTAAAAACTATCTATTCAAAAATTTAGCATCACTGTTCGAAACACAGCAAGAGCAATTATTACCTAACATACTGCATGCTCGAGTGGAAAATCAACGACCTTGTACTAGATAATCATTACAATGAGGATCAATAATGTGTGCGCGAGTTTAAATCGGGGTGTATTTGTATGCGTGTTGGGTGGATTGGATTGGATTGGATTTATTCGGTGTAAACACCACGAAAGTCTAGAAGAAGACTTATTCCCAGTGGGGTCCTTCTGGTGGTTATTGGGCAGTACACCGGGAGACAATCCCCTACTCTTTTCCGAAGAGTGTACTGCGTTCTTTAACGTGCACATGGGCCATAATGCACACGGGACCAACGGCTTAAACGTCTCATCCGAAAGACGGTGCACTGTTGTAACTTGTATTTCAGCCCTCTAGCTGAAACACAAGGAGAAGCAGCGATGGGAA